AGATAATCAGACCAGACTGGACTGGAGCAAGAGAGCCTGCCCTGGGGAGAGGGACTAGGTGAGACCGCTGCTCCTGGCAACTGCCTGCCCACACACACTTCCCATGATTCCCAGTGGGGTGGGCAGAGTTTGCAGGATCCTCTTGTCACAATCACAGAACTGGCTTGGAGCAGGCGAGGGGGCCACATGGTGTCCCTGGAAAACCCCTTTGCTGAGCAACTGGGATGCCCTAGGTCTTCTCTCCACCCACCCTGCACCTAGCCAGCATGCAGGTGACTGTTGCTGCCTCTAGGCCAGGTGGGGCAGGGAGCATCATGCTCATAGAGCTCCATGGGGAGACAGGGGTCACCCCATCTCTTCAACCCCCTTAGCTGCCCTCCTCCTGAAGGACAGGAACCGCCCCCTCATAGAGCTCACACCTAGGCCCCCCAGTTCTTGGCACGCTTCCCTTTTCTCCCGCTGCTCTCCACAGAACTAAACCCCCACCCCCATCTCTCCTACCCCACACACTCCAGCCCTGCTGAGCTGACACTGGTGGGAGAGGGCAGCCACCAGGGAGCCTCAGAGCTGCTCGTACCAGCCGCTTTACAGCCCAGCACCAAAACAGCAGCATCTGGGCAGGGAAGAGAACTAGCACCCACAGCTGCAGGGCCCTATGCTCTGAGCCACAGAGGGCAGCTGGGTCACAGCCAAGCTCTCAGTGGACAGGACCATGGGCAAACACGCAGGATCTTTGTCCTTATCCCCAGCCTTCGGGAGTCAGGATCCGGGGGTCAGGATCCAGGGGCGTTGGCAGAGCTGTGTTCACCTAGGGATCCCAGGTCTAGAGCAGCAAGGGGGCTGGGGGCAGTGGAAGGAAGCTCACAGGGCTCAAAGGGGTGATTGATTCTTTGTCTATTTGTGGCTGAGGCACATGGGAGTCAGCGGGGGCAGGGGAAAGCCTCCCCCCATGTCACGCACTGCGTGGTTAGCCACAGCCAGGCAGTGATTATACGGGGGAGAGCATGGGGCTGTTTCAAGCTTAGCAGAAGGCCAGGCTCTTTCCCAACCCCTCTGGCCCAGGGCAAGCCACCCAGGGGAGCCCAGGGCCTTGAGCAAGTTCCCCACGGAGGTAGCCTCACCGAGCAGGCCTAGACTCGGTGCAGAACGGGCAGGGGTGGGGAGATACTGGCTCAGGAGGAACCCAGTTGAGGTTAGAGAGAGAGAGAGAAACCAGTGAAAGCAAAAGGCCAAGCAGAGGAGGAGAGCGGGTGCAAGATAGGAGGGGAAGGGACTTCCCATCCCAGTGGGCAGCACTGCCTGGGCCAGCGATCCCCAGTGCCCTGCCCTGGTGAGTTGAATCAGGTTCCTGCTGTTGCAGCCACATCACCCCACCGTGCCAATTAATAGAGGGCTGGAGGCATCACCCGTCCCCATAGTAACGCCACGGCCCAGTCAATACTGACAAGGGTTTCCACGGGCAACCGGGAGAACAAGCCAGGCAGATCTCCCTCTGCAAGGGGGTCCCCAGCTAACAAGATCGAAGTGCAGGAATCAAAGGGGGGATGGGATGGGCTCTGGTTTCTAATACTTCCCGTTTCTGTGCCTAGTGCCCAGATTCACTTGACTCGGGAGGCACCAGGAGAAAAAACCTAGTGAGCCTGCCTGGGGCAGGGATGCTCAGGGCCCAAACCCTCTTGCTGTCCCCTCAGCCTAGAGGATCGTGATCACCCCCCCCCCCCAAGAGCAATGTGGCACAGTCAAAACAGGAGGAACCCCACTCAGTCCCACGCCCAGGCCCAGGGCAAGGGAGAGGCCTTCCAAGCATTTTAGCCAGTCTGGTTCCAGAGGTCTCCATCAAAGGTCCCAACCCTTCCCTGGCTGGATCCACGCCCCTGTTGGGGAACACTGGGGCTCCCAGCCCTTCACTGAATCGTCTACATTACAACAGCATGTGGGAAATAGTTTAAGAAAAAAAATGGAAGACTAAGACTTGGTCTACACTCAAAGCTTTAAGCATGGCCTAGTCACGTTGGTCAGGGGAGTGAAAAAGCCACAGCCCTGACCGCCGTAGCCATGCCAACCCAACCCCAGTGAAGATGCAGCCATGTCGATAGAAGAATTAGCTAATGTCATTCAGGAAAGTAGTAGAATGTACACACACACACAGGCAGAAAAACTCCTGCCAGCGTACACTTGGTCTACACTAGGGGCCTCGCTTTACCCACTCACCCCCTATGGAGACCTGGTAGGGCTGAAAGAGTTAATCGTGGTAGGCAAGCGGCATGGCTGGGTTGTTGGTTCCAATGAACGATCAGAGACGGTCAAGGCACGAATGGAATTGCCTGGGAGAGTGTGACGAAGTGGGACTGTTCTTAATGTTTCCTCTGAATAGTGTGGGGGTGCCTCAGTTTCCCCTAGGCAGTTCTGAAGTATCTAGGGGGTGGAGTAAGGGTGTATGATCATTGCAGAGCCCTAGAGGGCAGGTGTGTGCAGGAGTCTGGACACAGAGAATGGCCGACACCCTGTTTCCTGGCAACTGATGGCCTGGGCCCTTCCCCCCCTGCAAGTTGAGAGCTGAAGGGTTGGAGAACAAAGGAATCAGGTGACCACCTGGCCCGGGAAAGGAACAAAGCCCAGAGGAGGAGGGGCTGGAGGGGGTTTCAGTTTGGGGCTGGCTGGGACATGGAGTGAAGTGCAGACGTGGTTGTCTGGCTCACTGCCCCCCAAAATGGACCCAGCTGAGGGGTCCCGTTCTCTGCACCTGCAAGCTCTGTGTTAGACCATGTTCCTGTCGTCTAATAAACCTTCTGTTTTACTGGCTGGCTGAGAGTCACGTCTGACTGCGAAGTTGGGGTGCAGGACCCTCTGGCTTCCCCAGAAGCCCCACCTGAGCGGACTCGCTGTGGGAAGCGCACGGAGGGGCAGAGGATGCTGAATGCTCCGAGGTCAGACCCAGGAAGGTGGAAGCTGAGTGAGCTGCGTGTCCTGAAGACAGGCTGCTCACAGAAAGGCGACTGCCCCAGAGTCCTGACTGGCTTCATGGGGAGCAGTTCCAGAGCATCGCCCAGGGACTCCGTGACAGAGAGTCAATAGAAGGCCAAGGACCAGACAGGAACTTCTAAGGACTGGCAGCTAGGGGAAGCAGGACATGCGGAACCGGCCTGACCGTAACTGGAAATGGAAGATGGAGGTGTTCAGAGCGGGTATAAGAACTGGCTACCAGTGAGGGAAAGATGAGATGCTGGATGCTTTGGGCTACAGAGACAGGTGACGCTGCAGCATGGTAAAGTTTACATGCATGTCTTTTCCGTCCTAACGTCAGGATCTTATGACATGTTGTATTCCAGATTTTGGAGTGTTGTGAAAAAGCCATTCTGTCTCTCTGCAAAACATCTGAGCATTGCATGGCTGCCAAAGGGGAAACGTCTTGCTGCACAATGAGACACCGGGGTGATTTAGCCAGAGCGCCAGTATTTGGGTAGCGAGGCCGTGGGGCTGACTTTCATAAGAAGTGCTGGCCGAGGGCCTATCGCTACACGGGCTACCCTCCCAGAAAGGTCAGAGGCACGCTAGCCCCGTGGATCGGTGAGACGTGCAGACGTCCCAACTGAGAGCAGGCACCCGCGCTGCTGGGCGCTGCACAGACAGCGAGAGACCGTTCCTGAGCCAGAGAACTTACAGCCTCACTGGACAACGGGTGGGAGGGGAAGTGATTTGCCCAGGGTCCGACAGCAGGGCAGAGGTGGGAACAGAATCCAGGTCTCCGGAGCCCCAGTGTGATGCCCCCTATGCCAGACCTTCCCTGGGAGGAGATTCCACAGCCAGCTCCATCTTCCTAGCAGGCAGTTCCCCTGACACAACCGGAGCTGCCCTCTGGCTCTTGCTGCCCCGACAGGGCAGAGTGAAGCCAAGCACTCATCACCTGCACCAACAGAGGCAGGGACCTGCTGCTCCCATGGCCACTGCCAGCTTCCCAGGCAGCACTGGCCCGAACACAACATCAAAGGATGAGCCACTGAAACTATTTGCAGGCAACAGGCTCTGCAGCCTCTTCACCATGGCAACCCTGATGAGTCATTGTACTGGGGAGGAACAGGGAAGAGGAATTTCACACCCTTAGCAGTCCTGAAAGAGTAGGCAGCCTTAACTCTTTCCAAGGAGCCAGTCCCAGCCCCGGTCCTAATCTGCAGCCCCCTCTGCCGTCCCAGCCCTGGGCTCCCCCCTCCCCAGCTCTGCCAGTGCCCCTCTGTGCCAATCTGCAGCCCCCTCTGCCATCCCTGCCCTGGGCTCCCAGCTCTGCTGAAGCCTCTCAATCTTGACCCACAGTTCCCCCCCACCGACCCACTTTTGCCTTCCTGATGTTGTCTTCAGAGCAGAGATGCCCATCCAGCAGTCTTGTGGACTAACATCCCTGCCCTGACAAAATCAGCCAGCTCTGAACGACCAGGCAAGGAACACAAGAGCATCTCCCCTCCACAACCTCAGGATACAGCCCCAGGGCAGAGCAAGACCATCAGTGGCCAGAGGTCTCTGGACCAAACCAAGGACACTGCATTCACTCCAGTGTCTCACTGCTCAGCAGTTTCCAGGAGGGGGTGAATGGCTGGGATGTGCCCCGGTAGCTGGCGGAGATGCTGGTGGGGAAGAGCTCCGTATGGAGAGCGTGGGTGGGGAGGAGTAACTAGCACCCCCTTTGGGGGAGAGGCAGCTCCCCTCAGACCCATAGATCAGAGCCAAGACCTGACCCCAGTGCTGCCTGGCTCCCACCTGGACAGGGGCCCAGGGATGGGCCAGGCCGACTCTACCCCTGGCTTTGGAGCAGTCAGGCAGCTGGGGCTGTTCTCCTGGGGGTGGCAGGGATGCTCAGTCCCAGCTCCATCACACATCCACATGGCATGTCCACTATGCCTGGCGGATACGAGTCTACATCCTGGCTGGGACCAAGTCTGGTCCCACCCTGCACCAACTGTCACAAGGGGATCAGAGCCACTAATGACCTTTGAGTCCTGCCCACTCACCTCCTTTAGCACCTGGTCCAGCAGCGCCGTGGTCTCGGGTGACACATTCCAGGGGTCCATCTCCGCCACCATCATGGAATCCAGCGTGCCCTTCTCCAGAACCACGTCGAAGGTGCCGTCTGCGAAGGCCAAGTCCCGAGCATCCATCACCACCCACTGCAGGCCCTGGCACTGGGCGTAGCGGGCTTGCATGCCCGCGATGCACACCAGAGAATAGTCAACGCTGGTGACATCCGTGTAGCCGAGCTGGAACAGGTCGGAGCTCAGGGCGCTGTTTCCACAGCCTGGAAAAACGAGGATGGCCAGGTGAGAGCCAGCCGAGGCAGATGGGTCCATGAACTACAGGGGCGGCTCCGTGACGCCCAGCAGAGCCGTGAGTGTTTTGCAGCTGGGGAGAAGGAGCCAGCTGCCCCAGCCAGCTCAGTAGGCTGTTAAGTCTGGAACCTACAGAAGACTATTCAAATGTCAGTGTTAACCGTTTCAGTGCCAGTCATTTTAGCAGCAAGATCCAGCTAATGCACTTTTCCACTGTCTGTGGATGCTGGGGCAGATCCGGAGGCAAAGGGGCTGCCATTTGCTGGGGTACTGACCTAGGAGCTCAAGCCTTGGTCACACACAGTATCAAGTCCAGTGGGGGATGGGAGGTTGAGACTTTCCCACTGCCCCCTCCCAGCGGCTCCCCAACCCCCAGATTGGTGAGATGATAACACACATTCCCTGCCCCCCCCTCCCAGTAAGCTGGGGAGCATGAAGGAGACTGGCCTGTCTGTCATCACAGCTAATCCAGCAAACCCCAGCGATTTCCCTTCACTGCAGCCGGCACACAAAGCCCTCTCTGCAGCAAGCTCTGGACCAGCCTCCTCTCCCCACAGTGCGGAAGAGACAGAGCACTCAGACTGACGGGGCCCCAGCCCAGAGTCTGGGCCCAAACACTCAACAACCTGCTTCCAACCTGACTGGGGAAGCTGGATATCAAAAGTAGTAACCTCAATTTTTGTGGGGCTCACCAAAAAGGCCTGGTCTCCTCCAGTTCTGCTTTGCGATTCCAAGAGCAGTCAGTTCTGGGAGGGGGAGCGGTGGGGTGCAGCAGGGTCAAATTAACTTAGAGACAAAGCTCCACGTAATGAGCAGTTTGCAAATTCCATTTTAATGTCATGGGCGGGCAGACGTGCCCAGGCAGAGCAGCCAGAAGGACCCAAGACTCTGCTCCATCCTACAGGGCAACTGGGGACACAGATCCCAGCCCTGCTGAACTCGGTTCACCATGGACAGTGACAGGTTTACAATGGCTCCAGTGGCTCCATGGAGCCAGGCCCATGCTCAGAAGGGGCCCCGGCCTGCTCCACTTGCACTGCACCCCAAGACCCCGCCGGCCTCCCCCGCCAACCACTTGCTCCCCTCGGCCTGCCCGCCGGCTGGCTGAGGGCTCATCTCTGCCCCCTGGCCAGAACCCAGTGCGCCTCTGGCTCCAGGCAGTCTCTGTTTCCCACCACCTGTGGGGCCCCACCTGTCTCCCCAGAGCTGAGCCACCTGGGACTGGTGCAGAAGCCTTGCTAGTCTCGGCCAGGTGTGGGGGGAAAAGAGCTTGAGGGGCTTGGCTGGGGTCCCTCAAGACACACTTGCCTGGAGGGGCCCAGCCGGGGTAGGTCCTGGCCTGCCTGATTGCGCCACTCCCAAGGGGACAAGGGGACAGAGCGACTCCCAGCCCTGGCTACACTGCCAACTCAACCCGGCAGACACAGTCGCCTCCCAGCAAGGCTGGTGAGTGCAGCCAGGAGGCAGGGCTTGCAGGAGTGGGTCTGTGGGGAGTAGCGGGAAGTGCTGGGCTGGGAAGGGGCAGGGAGGATGTGTGTGTGTTTGGGCTCTAGGGAGTGGGGGGTGCAGGCCAGTTGTGGTGGGGTTGTGATCGGGGGCCTCTGGGCAGGGGTGGTGTTGTGCAGGGCGCTGTGCATTTGTGGGTGGGTCTGGGGGGGGCTCTGGCCATAGGGAGTCGAGGGGTGTTGGGTGGGGGGGCTGTGCGGTGTGACGTGGGCCTGCCCCCAAGGGGAAGGGGCATGATGGCAGCACAGGGCTGGGCAGGCCACTGTGCATCTCGCAACTGCCGGTTTGTAAATAGTGCCCTCGCATTGGGTGGAGCAGGGCCACCCCTGCCATGCCATGTCCCATTGCCTCTGGCTGGCCCCTCCTTCTGGGACTGACCTCCCTTGGCCATGCTCCATTGCCTCCCACAAAAATGGGGGGGCCCACAAAAGGTTAATCCGGCCCTGACCACGGACTAGAGGGGTTTGGCCAGGAACCCAGCACCAGGGAAGAGGGAGCAAGATTCTGCCCTGCCCCACTCCGGGTCGGGCACGTGAGAGACTCCAGTCTGGGATTTACCGGGGCCAGCCCATGTCAGAGTGGTCTGGGACAGCGCACTCAGGGCAGCACAAACATCAGAACTGGATCCTCTGGTGACATGGAAGGGACTCGGCTGTCCCTGCCATGCCCTGGGTTTCCGACAGCAGCACAGGTTCAGAGAGTATACTACTCCCAGGGAGGTGGGGCAGGGGCATGGGCATGAAGGGCAACTCCCCCCACAGCACAGTACTGCCCCCTCCCAATACCAGGCTGGGATGCAGACACCGGGCAGCTCCCCCAGCAACATAGACCCCCACCCCCCATGCCAGGCAGGGGTGCAGAGATCGGCAGATCCCTCAGATGCACAGCATTACCCAATGCCAGGCTGGGGTGCAGAGACAGTGCATCCCCCGCAGTGATGCAGCCACCCCCCCCCCCGCCATGCCAGGCTGGGGTGCAGACACCGGGCAGCTCCCCCCAATGCCAGGTGGGGCTGCAGAGATAGGGCACCCCCCCCAGCAGCCAAGGTCTTTACTTGGTTTCTCTGACAGCCGAGTCACAGTGCTGGGTGCAGCCAGTCTGTGGGTCCTTACACCCCTCCCAGGCTCCCCATTCCTGCCCCCTGAGCTGTATGGGGAGCCGACCCACCAGGTAGGGATGTAGCTGGGATGCAGAGGGCCACTGGCCAGTGGGCAGATTACTGCAGCCTGGCACCATCTGGCAGGCTTTAACCGATTTGGAGAGAGTGGGGGGTGGAAGGAGCATCTGCGACTCTCTAGTGCATGTGAGGCAGAGCAGGGAAGGGAACGGGCTGTCCACGCTCTCAAGGGAGCTCCCCGACCAGCCCCACAGGGGTACATGGGAGACCAAGGCAGGGGGGAGCCTGGCACTGCCCTGCAGCAAAGGTATCTGGGACAGCCAAGCCTTGGCCAAGTGCCCTCAGACCAGGGGCTGGGGAAGCTCCCAAGCCAAGCCTCATGCAGGGGTTGCAGCTAGGCCATGGAAGGTGTATCCCTGGGGGTCTCCCCAATGCAGAACTCCCCTCCCCAAGGCTCTCTGCCTGCTCCAGACTGGGTGAGACACTCCCTTCCCTGCTCCAGATGGGGCCTGGCCTAGCACACTCAGCCCTACCATCAGGCTTGGCTCCAGCCTGCACCCCACACCTCAGGGCTCCCCTCCTACCTTTCCTGAGCAGCCCTCAGCCTCAGGGGGATTTGACTGCTATTAATCACAGATCGTATAGATTGATCCTGTTAGGGGATCAGGCGATTAGACCCTGTTAATCTGAACCTGCTCGGAAACTCGGGGAAAACTCCAGATTAAGGAGGCACCAGGTTAAAAGCTGCAGCAGCAGCCAGATCAGAGATGGATAAAGCACCAGGTGGAATTAAATGCAGCTTTGACTCCTCTCCTCCCGGTTAAATCCCCTGGACAGACAGGACTTCCCCGTGGCCTGCTGGGGGATCTGGTTAATTCACAGGAGAAGCACTGTGCTCAGGACAGCAAAGGGATCAGGCTAGAGAAGCAGGATGTGGTGGGCATTGTCCACCCCCACCCCACAATCACGCCCAAAGGCTTTACAAACCAAGACAAAACCATGCGCCACGTAACTCACGGGGAGCGTGTTTATAAGAACAGGAGTTGCCACACTGGGTCAGACCATGGTCCATCTTGCCCTGCTTCCTATCTCCGTCCATGGCCAGTATCAGAGCTGCAGGGGACTGTACAGAACAGGGCAATTATGGAGGAATCCATGTCTTCCCCTCCTGGCAGTCAGAGGTTATGGGATGCCCCGAGCATTGGGGGGTGCCCCGAACCTTGGCTTGTAGTCATTCGTGGCCCTATCCTCCATGAACTTATCTAGGTTTTTTTAACCTAGTTCTACTGTTGGTCTTCACAACATTCCCTGGCAAGGAGTTCCACAGGTGAATAGTGCATTGATTCTCCAGAGGCACGGATTGGCCAAAATGACCAGGTTCCCCACCCTAGGCAAGGCTGTGCTCCCCTGCACTCTGACAGTGAGGCCAGAAAGCAATCACCTCCTGCAGAGAGACTGGCCGTAGAGTACACCCAGCAGTCCCTGCACCCAGCCCACCCACTCATCTCTTCTAGACAGAGACACCCGGTCTTGGGGCGAAGGCTTCAAGTGATGGAGAATCCCCCCCACATTCCTCATTGGCTACGCCCCCCAACTTAGCTAATGTTAGCACTTACCACTAGGAAGTGCCGACCAAAGCCAGGCTGCTGCTAACATTGTGATAGACAGCAGCTAAGTGTGTCTCAGTGTTTCCTTGTGCTCCCATCTGTCCATGTCCATCTGTCATTTCTTGTCTTATACTTAGATTGGAAGCTCTTTGGGGCAGGGACCATTGTTTGTACAGCTCCTAGCGCCACAGAGTCTTGGTGCATGACCAGGGCTCTGAGGCACTGGGGTCAGAAAAATAAGAACGCGTTGGCAATTCATGCCCAGATGCCAGGACTGGGCTTTAAAAGCAGAACCTAGAATTCAACCACCCCGCCCTGTGCATTGTCATGCCATGCAGGTCGGCCCCTCTGCCACACAACTGGGTGCTCCAGCCTCCTCCTCCAGGCTCTGGTCTTTGTACTCTGGATTGGCAGACGTTGCGTTGGTGAAGACCCCCTGGCTTCTCAGCCCTTTGGCCCAGCCCTTTGTCCTGGCATCCTCGCGGGGGAACAGCTCTTCGTTGTTAACTGGGTCAAGCCAAGGTTTCCACCCAGATCAGTTATCAGCCAGCAAATCCCTCCAGAGCCCTCGCCTATTGTCTGTGAGGGGCCTTGCTGGTGGAGACGTGTTCTGATCAGAGCCCTTGTGCCCATCTCAACAGCTGGCCCAAGCGTAGAGGCGCCCTGCCTGCGCGCCACCAGGTGCGGGGCATCAGTCGTCCCTCCTCCACCCGGCCCACGGCAGTCATGGGAGAGTTCGACGTTCACAGCAGGAGTCAGCTGTTTCCAGCATCAGGTTCAGTCGTGCGCCAGACATCTGAGTCACAAGCCTGCAACGGCTGCCCCCACTCAGGTCTCACCTCCTGCACTGCCCAGCCAAGCAGCAAAGACCCCCCTTGCTAGGCATCCCCAGCACCTGGGCCACGGTGCTCTGTGGTTTGCTGCTCAGCTAGTCTGGCAGCAGGTCACCCCCACTGCTGGGTCATGTCTTAAGTGTCCAACCATCCTGCATTAACAGCAACACCGATCTTCGGTTCCACTTTTCCTCCATTTAGCCACCTGCAGCTTGTGGGGGATGAGGGAGGCTAGCTCAGTGGTCAGAGTGCCAGCCCGGAACCTGGGAGACCTGGGTTCTAGACCCTGCTGTTCCAGACATCTCATGGGCCCTTGGCCAAGTCTCAGTCTTTGTGCCTCAATTCCCAGACTGCAATGAGGGGATAAAAGCCCTGCCCGGCCTCACAGGGGTGACAGCAGCGTAAATACACAAGTGTGTGGCCCGGTTACTACGCTACCTCCGAAGATGCTAACAAAACATACAGCGAACCAATGCACTGGCTCCTCCATGCTATGGGGACAGCAGCCACGGCACCATGTTTGAGCCAGTCCCGGATACCTAGGTGCTGCCTTTTCCATTTGGAAGTAGTCGCAGCCCATGCCGCCGAGGGCTCTCACCCATCTGCCCCCCTCCCCCCCCCCTCCCCCCCCCCCGCCACACTGTGGAACAGCCAGACTTCACGTTCCAACTTAAGGGCTGCCAGCACTCGGAAACTCATGAATGAAGAGGCCCCTTTAATTGGAAGAAGCAGCTGCAGCTCTACCAACCCCCAGCCAAAGCCAAGGGCTGCTGGAAACTGGCTCCCGCCACCACAGAGCGCTTCCGGCGCTGTGCTGATGCCATGGCTCTGCCCGAGCCAGCACAGAGAAACGGATGTCCTGATGGCGCATCCTCGCCGTAGGAAGTGCAGGTCACCAACGTTCTCCTCCCTTTAGGGATGGGGCATTCTTGCCTCTCAGATCTCCAAAGGCCAACGGCGCTTTCGTAGCTTCCCCTGAAACATAGCGTTCAGTCTAGATGTGAGATACGGGCCAGGCTAGTTCCCTCTGGATCTGTCTACACTGCAATAAAACAGCTGCAGCCGGCCCGTGTCAGCTGACTCGGGCTGGGGCTATAAAACTGCAGTGTAGACACTGGGGCTTGGGCTGTAGCCCAGCCTCTGGGACCCTGCGAGGATCCCGGTCTACACTGCAATTTTATAACCCTGTGAGCTCAAGTCAGCTGGCACAGGCTGGGCATGGCTGTTTCATTGCAGCATAGATGGATCTTCAAAGATTTTATTGCTCAGAATAAAGGGCACCGGCAACAGCTCTGGATACCCTCCCTCAATGCAGTCGGCACACACGGATTGTCAGCAAATTCACCGGCCAAGGTGAGGGACGTGTAGCATAAACTGATGTGCAACTCCACGATACGCAGACAGCGCATGCCAGCCGGCTCCTCCATGGCTGTTCTCAGGTCCCAAGCCCACGGTTCGCAGCGTATTGTTGCGAGCAAGGACTGTACTCTCATTTGAAGCCTTTTTGGGTCTGTCTATACTGCAGTGCAAGCCCAGGGTTAGCAGAACTCGACCTAGCAGACCCTGGGCTTGAGCATCTAAACACGTTTGTAAGACCAGGAACAATTGAACCTGGGGCTCCAGCATCTACCCTGCATTTTGCAGGCCTGAGTCCAACCACCCACAACTGAGACTTCCCAGCACCCTCGCAGAACACACTCCCCACAGCCCTTTGTTCGTGATGCAGAGCAGGAAAACTTTACTGTCCAAACCTGAATCTCCAGAGGACACAGAAGGCCAGCCCGTGGTATTTTTTTGGCAGACCCCCAGAGCAGGAGTCCAGTGCAGCTGTATTTACACTGTAAAGCAATAGGGCTTGAACCCTAGGCCCCAGTTTGACTCAGGCACAAACCCTCCACCCCATGGGGTCCTGGGATGCTGGATCCAAGCCCTGGATTGGTGCAATTTGCATGTAAATGGAAGGGGAGGGTTAGGCTTGAGTCTGAGTTCAAACCCTGGTTTCACGCTGCCATGTAGACGTACTCTGAGGGGCCACAGGAGGAATTCTTCCCGCTTGGAGGTGAGACGGTTCCTCAGTCAACACCAGAAAATGCCTTGATTGTTACTGCACAGAAGCCTCTGGACGGGAATCTAAAGCTCACCCTTACCAGCACTTTGATCTTCCATTGCCCTTGTCACCGGTAGAGCTCCAAGCCCTTCACAAAGGATGTCAGTATCATTTCCGGGGAGCGGGGGCGGGGGGGAGAACCGGTGCAGAGTCCCTGATGTGTCGCAAGCCCTCAGTCCCATCTTCCACTCTGACCACCCAGGAAGGTGGGGAGGCTTCTGACGCTTTGCCTGGTCCATCCCACTAGAGCGGCGGGGGAGGGACGGCCACATATAAAGCCAGACCAATGGCTGTCTCTAGGGACTTCCTCTGGTCTGCTCCAAATGCCAGGGCTCTAGGAAGTGCAGGGAGGAGCCCCCAAGGGAGCGCCAGGCCCTGCCCTTCGTCCTGTCACTGCAGAGAAAGGGGAGGATGATTGAAGTGGGATTAACAGGGAGCCAACATTTCCTATGGCCTGAGGAGAGACCCTGCAGGAGGTCTGAGCCCCCTGCTGCTGGACACCTCTCCCGGAGGGGGAAGAGGAAGATGGTGGGAACGGCAGCAGATCCTGAGCACATTTGGGGAGAGGGGACACAGGACAGACTGGGGACCAGCCCTGGGTAAGTGATCATAGGCTGGGGCGGGGAGACCCATCCCTGATGCAGGGATTCAGGGCCTCTGCAAAACCCCCATTCCTCCCTTGAGCACAGAGCCCACAAGGGAGAGGCGCTGCTCAGTCCCAGCCCCGCCTGGAGTAACCTCAGACCTAGCCAGCAGCAGGACACAGCTCCCACCACACAGCCCAGGTGGAGCCCAGCCCTCGCAGAGCAATCCCAGCTTGGCTTGGGCGAAGTGAGCCCCCAGATCCTCGCTGCCAGGCACAGGTGCCACAGCTCTAGCCCAGTGACAATACCCGGGGGCCACAGGGGCAGTGAACTCCCTCCCACGGACGTTCCCCTTCCAAAGGCTGCCCCATGGTAGCCTCCGCGTGCCGTAGGCTGGGGACTACTGGGGGTGGGGGTTCAGGACTCCTGGGTTCTCGCCCATTTCCTCTCCGCCTCAGCTCTCCCCATGGGCCCTGGGCTCACTGCAGGCGGAGGAGGGCAGCGTGAGCTCTTCTGCTAAAGTGAGGCCTCAGAGGACAGCAGAGGGGTGAGCGCGAAGCCCTGCTGGGTACAGCACCCACCGGGACCCGGCTGGGGCTCTCGGGCAGAAACTCCCGAGCATCCCCACGGCTCTCGGGTGCAACAGACAGGAGTGCAAGAGTCTCATTAGCAAAGCATGCTGGGAAAGAGCAGCAGGCTTTCCCCAGAGATGCTTGAGGGGAGGCAGGGAAGAGGGGCCAGAGAGCAAGGAGACGCAAAGGAGACCAGCCCTAAGCCAGCTCACAGAGGCAGCCCCAACGGCCCAGGGCCTCCCTCACCCCGGGCTCTGCACTCGCGCACATCGGGGCCAGAGTCCAGCATCCTCAGCCTCACTCGAAAGGGCCATGCTGCCCCCTGGTGGCGCTCGGGAGGAATTGGCAGGTACTTGTTTTCTAGAGGTTACCTCTGCAGCAGAAATTCAGGGGTCTCCAATGCACCCCCTGCTGCCAAGGCTGCCCTGGAATAAGGGGGCCCTTGATGGCTTCACAGACGGATATGGTGTAAACACACACAGGCTGCAGCTCTGATCTATGGAATGGGGCGCTCAGGCTGTAGGCCAGAGGCCTGCTTCCCCCATAGAATCTTGGGAGGACAGGGGAATAAGGGGTGGGCTGGCACATATGGACGTCACCTTAGAGGGATAAGCTACACAAGCCAAGCTGGCATCTTACAGCCCCTTTGCTCCACAAACAGCTTCCTCCTTGGAACGAGGATCCGCACAAGCCCCAGACCACTCACTCGCCCTGCTGAGCCAGTGGCCTGGCTCAAGACCTGCCTGGCACCGACAATGAACATCAGCAAGGGATGTGGCTGAACCAGAGCTGGGCATGGCATGTCCTTGGCTACACTTGCAGCCACATCATGCTCTGTGCCCACCCACCTGCATGTTTCAGAGTAGCAGCCGTGTTAGTCTGTATCTGCAAAAAGAAAAGGAGTACTTGTGGCACCTTAGAGACTAACCAATTTATTTGAGCATGAGCTTTCGTGAGCTACAGCTCACTTCATTGGATGCATTCAGTGGAAATGCACTGCATGCATCCGATGAAGTGAGCTGTAGCTCATGGAAGCTTATGCTCAAATAAATTGGTTAGTCTCTAAGGTGCCACAAGTACTCCTTTTCCACCTGCAAGTGTTACTGACACCCACTGTCAGCAAAGGGCATTTCCTGTAGCATAGGCCAGGCTTATTAAGAGAGCAGTGAATGACTAGCCAGATAGAGCAGGGGCTGTGGAATACCCAAGGATGGAAGGGGGGGGGAGGGGAGAAAAGAGAACAGTTAGAACACACCCACACCTAACACCATCTCAGGACATGTAGGAATATAGGCCACATTAGCCCTAGGTGAGCTACGGTTTTAAATTGAGTTTGGATCTTAGCATGAGTGACTGGCCCAAAGCACGTGACCAAAAAAAGAAATCATGAGAAAGGAGGACTGTTTGTGTTAAACACGTAGTGACCCTTTGGAATAGCAGCATTCCCCGATTTAAGGTTTGGGCTAAGCAACAGGACTAAAGAAAACATGGTTAAATGGGCACCAGGTGCAGTGAATAATTGGTTAGAAACACTTAGTGCAGTAGTCAGGGACAAAATATGGCAAAGTGAGAGACGGGGAAAAACCTTGACGAGCAGAGTGCAGCCCTAAACTGCTTCCACTGACTTTAGCTAAGGTCCAACCACCAGCAGAGACATTGCTTGCTTGTTAGCAAGCTTTTTGAGTGCTCAGAGCTTTCCCTGGCCCCTCTGAGGGAAGACAGCTCCTGGGCCTGACCTGGCTGGAGTATTTGGGGGATGCTGATCACTGTAGAGAGTGAGAGTGTGCATGGTGATATGCTGCTGCTGGACTGAAATATACCATGTGGTCTGTTTGCGGACCATGTGTGACTGTTGGATGCTGAGCCTAGCAGCCTGCTAGGCAAGGCTGAGAGCTTCTTAACAAGGCTTTTTGAACAGGAGCAGCTAACAGGGGAATGTTCTGAGGTAGTTTAGAGGGGGTGTGGGGGCTACATACACTAATATTCCTTAAACTTAAGCCAAAAAACACCCCCCTCCCCCATAAAAACAAAACAAAGGAACGAGCTGCAGGAGTAAAAAAGAGAATGCAGGCAGAAGTCCAGCAACAGAGTAGGGTCTACCCAGTTTATTGCACCCAATGCAGCATGTATGATTACCTGCCCTTTGGACAGGTGGTGTATGTATGCATTCAGTGCAAGGAGCTCCTGGCCCTCAGAGACTGTGTACAGCCTTTGGAGACCAGGGTGGCTGAGCTGGAGGAGCTAAGGGAGACAGAGAGGTACATAGATGAGACTTTCTGGGACACAGTAGAACGGTCCCACCCCTGGTCTGAGAGCCTCTGTGATGTTGAGGAAGATGAAAGCCTCAGGGAAGGAGAACACCCAATGGAGCAGAGGGAAACGATGCCATAGTTGGGACCCTCCTTCCAGATGATGATGTGGTATCCTCTTGCACTGAGGATACCTCTCCGGGGGAGGGAACTCCAGCTATTAGGAAGAGACAGGTATTAGTAATGGGTGGTTTGATCATTAGAAACATAGATAGCTGGGTTTGTAATGACCATGAGAACTGCATGGTGACTTGCCTGCCTGGTGCAAAGGTTGTGGATCTCTCGAAACATCTAGATGACTTATGTGTAGTGCTGGGGAGGAGCCGGTGGTCGTGGTACATGTAGGTACCAGTGACATAGGGAGGGATAGGAGAGAGATCCCGGAGGCCAAATTTAAGCTGCTAGGTAAGAGATTGAAGTCCAGGACCTCCACAGTAGCATTATCCGAAATGCTTCCACGCACAGGGCCAGTTAGACAGGCAGAACTGCAGGGTCTCAATGCGTGGATGAGATGATGGTGTACGGAGGAGGGGTTTACATTTATTAGGAACTGGGGAAACTTTGGGGAAAGGGGGAGCCTATACAGGAAGGATGGGCTCCACCTAAACCAAAATGGAACCAAATTGCTTGCACGTAACATTAAAAAGGTCTTGAGCAGTTTTTAAACTAAGGGCTGGGGGAAAGCCAACATGTGCAGAGGAACACGTGATTTGGACAGAGACATCCTTTAGAGAATCTCCATTAATAGATCCTCCCCATGTCCGAGTAATGAGGAGAGGATGGATGGATGATAAAATGTAGGGAGGATCTGATGACAGAGTCAAATGAAAAAAAAAAGAGAGACCCATTCATTTACATCATGTAATGGCAGACAGCTAAAAAGTGACAAGTTTATAAAGTGCTTATATATCAGTGCTAGAAGTCTAAATAGTAAGATGGGCGAGTAGAGTGCCTCGTATTAAATGAGGATATTGATATAATAGGCCTCACAGAGACTTGGTGGAATGAGGATAATCAATGGGACCCAGTAATACCAGGGTTCAAAATATATCGGAAGGACAGAACTGGTCGTGCTGGTGGGGGAGTGGCACTACACATGAAAGAAAGCATAGAATCAAATGAATTAAAAAATCTTAAATGAACTAAATTGTACCATAGAATCTCTATGGATAGTAATTCCAAGCTCTAATAAGAATATAGCAGTAGGGATATACTACAGACCACCCGACCAGGATGATGATAGTGACTGTGAAATGCTCAGGGAGATCAGAGAGGCTATTAAAACAAAACACAATAATAATGGGGGATTTAACTATCCCCATATTGACTGGGTACATGTCACCTCAGGACGGGATGCAGAGGTGAAGTTTGACACCTTAAATGACGGCTTCTAGGAGCAGCTAGTCCCGGAACCCACGAGAGACAATTCTTGATTTAGTTCTAAGTGGAGCAAGAGGTGAATATAGCTGGACCCCTTGGTAATAGTGACAATAATATAATTAGATTTAGCATCCCTGTCGTGGGGAAAACCACCACAGCAGCCCAACACTGTAGCATTTATTTTCAGAAAGGGGAACTACACAAAACTGAGGAGGTTAGTGAAACACAAATTAAAAAGGTACAGCGCCAAAAGTGAAATCCCTGCAAGCTGCATGGGAACATTTTAAAGGCACCATAATAGAGGCTCAACTTAAATGTACACCCCAAATTAAAAAAAACACACTAAGAGAACCAAAGAAGTGCCAGTGTGGCTAAACAAAGTAAAAGACGCAGTGAGAGGCAAAAAGGCTTCCTTTAAAAAAGTGGAAGTTAAATCCTAGTGAGGAAAATAGAAAGGAGCATGAACTCTGGCAAATGAAGTGTAAAAAATATAATTAGGAAGACCAAAAAAGAATTTGAAGAACAGCTAGCCAAAGACTCAAAAAGTAATAGCAAAAAATGTTTTAAGTACATCAGAAGCAGGAAGCCTGCTAAATAACCAGTGGGGCCACTGGACGATCGAGATGCTAAAGGAGCACTCAAGGACAATAAGGCCATTGCGGAGAAACCAAATTAATTCTTTGCATCGGACTTCACAGCTGAGAAAGTGAGGGAGATTCCCAAACCTCAGCCATCCTTTTTAGGTGACAAATCTGAGGAACTATCCCAGATTGAGGTGTCATTGGAGGAGGTTTTGGAACAAATTGATAAACTAAACAGTAATAAGTCAGCAGGACCAGATGGGATTCACTCAAGAGTTCTGAAGAAACTCAAATGTGAAATTGCAGAACTACTAACTGTAGTCTGCAACCTATCATTTAAATCAGCTTCTGTACCAAATGACTGGAGGATAGCTAATGTGACACCAATTTTTAAAAAGGACTCCAGAGGTTATCCCGGCAATTACAGGCCAGTAAGCCTGACTTCAGCATCAGGCAAACTCGTTGAAACTATAGTAAAGAACAAAATTGTCAGACACATGGATAAACATAATTTGTTGGGAAGAGTAAACATGGTTTTTGTAAATGGAAAGCATGCATCAACAATCTACTAGAATTCTCTGAGGGGGTCAACAAGCATGTGGACTAGGGGGATTCAGTGGATATAGTGTACTTAGATTTTCAGAAAGTCTTTGTCAAGGTCCCTCACCAAAGCCTCTTAAGCAAAGTAAGCTGTCATGGGATAAGAGGGAAGGTCCTCTCATGGATTAGTAACGGGGTAAAAGATAGGAAACAAAGGGTAGGAATAAATGGTCAGTTTTCAGAATGGAGAGAGGTAAATAGTGGTGTCCCTCAGGGGTCTGTACTGGGCCCAGTCCTATTCAACATATTCATAAATGATCTCGAAAAAGGGTAAACAGTGAGGTAGCAAAATTTGCAGATGACACAAAACTACTCAAGATTGTTAAGTCCCAGGCAGACTGTGAAGAGCTACAAAAGGATCTCTCAAAACTGGGTGACTGGGCAACAAAATGGCAGATGAAATTCAGTGTTGATAAATGCGAAGTAATGCACATTGGAAAACAATCCCAACTATACCTATAAAATGATGGGGTCTAAAGTAGCTGTTACCACTCAAGAGAGATCTTGGAGTCATTGTGGATAGTTCTCTGAAAACATCCCCTCAGTGTGCAGCGGCAGTCAAAAAAGCGAACAGAATGTTGGGAATCATTAAGAAAGGGATAGATAAGACAGAAAACATCGTATTGCCCCTATATAAATCCATGGTACACCCACATCTTGAATACTGTGGGCAGATGTGGTCGCCGCATCTCAAAAAAGATACTGGAACAAGTTCAGAAAACGGCAACAAAAATTATTAAGGGTATGGAACGGCTGCCGTAAGAGGAGAGATTAATAAGACTGGGACTTTTCAGCTTGGAAAAGAGACAACTAAGGGGATATGATAGAGGTCTATAAAAGCATGACTGGTGTGGAGAAAGTAAATAAGGAAGTATTATTTACTCCTTCTCCTAACACAAGAACTAGGGGTCACCCAACAAAATTAATAGGCAGCGGGTTTAAAACAAAAGGAAGTATTTTTCCACACAATGCACAGTCAACCTGTGGAACTCTTTGCCAGAGGATGTTGTGAAGGCCAAGACTATAACAGGGCTCAAAAAATAACTAGATAAGTTCATGGAGGATAGGTCCATCAGTGGCCATCAGGCAGGAATGGTGTCCTTAGCCTCTGTTTGCCAAAAGCTGGGAATGGGCAACAGGGGACGGATCACTTGATGATCACGTGCTCTGTTCATTCCCTCTGTGGCACCTGGCATTGACCACTGTCGGAAGACAGAACACTGGGCTAGATGGACCTTTGGTCTGACTCAGTACGGCTGTTCTTATGTTACTGGTGGTAGAATCTGATTATGTTGATATTTTGGATGTAACCAATGCCAAGTGGCCTTTGGACTAATAAAGGAATGCTTGTGTGGAAACTGAGTCATTGTAAAACCTTAATAAACTTACCAGGGTGTCAGGGTTCCTTCCCCACTCTGAACTCTGGGGTACAGATGTGGGGAACCGCATGAAAGGCCCCCTAAGCTTATTTTTACCAGCTTAGGTTAAAATCTTCCCCAAGGCACAAATCCTTCCTTGTCCTTGGATGGGTACTGCTGCCACCACCAAGTGAGTTAAACAAAGATTCAGGAAAAGGACCACTTGGAGTCCTATTCCCCCAAAATACTCCCCCAAGCCTATTCACCCCCTTTCCTGGGGAGGCTTGAGAATAATATCCTAACCAATTGGTTACAAAATGATCCAAGACCCAAAACCCTGGGTCTTGGAACAATGGAAAAATCAGTCAGGTTCTTAAAAAGAACGATTTTATTTAAAGAGAAAACGGTAAAAGAATGATCTCCGCAAACTTAGGCTGGTAGTTAACCTTACAGAGTAGCAGAAAATACAAAGAGCACAGAGGAACCCCCTCTAGCCTTAAAAAGAAGAGGAGTACTTGTGGCACCTTAGAGTCTAAAATTTATTTGAGCATAAGCTTTTGAGAACTACAGCTCACTTCATCGGATGCATTCAGTGGAAAATACGGGGCGAGATTTTATATATACACAGGGAACATGAAACAATGGGTGTTACCATACACACTGAAATGAGAGTGATCAGGTAAGGTGAGCTATTACCAGCAGGAGAGAAAAAACACTTTTTGTAGTGATAATCAAGGTGGATTATAATTTTGCAGATACAGACTAACACGGCTGCTACTCTGAAACCCCTCTAGCCTTAGTTTCAAAGTTACAACAAAACAGGGATAAACCTCCCTCTAGCAAAGGGAAAATTCACAGGTTGAGAAAACAAAGGTAAACTAATACGCCACCCCCGACTGTTACTTACAAATTTGAAATATGAGAGACTTGCTCAGGAAGATTTGGAGAACATGGATTGGCGTCGGGTCCTTCTTAGTCCCAAGAGCAAACGCCCACAGAAAATAAAGACCCCAAAACAAAACCTCTTTCCCCCCCCCCCACCAGATTTGAAAGTATCTTTTGTCCCCATTGGTTCCTTTGGTCAGGTGCCAACCAGGTTACTTGAGCTTCTTAACCCCTTACAGGTAAGGAGGAATTTAGGCTACCCCCTATGGTTATGACCCAGGGAAATTTCCAACAGGTTGCAGTGTGGTCAGCTGTCAGCAGCTAACCAGACTGGGAGGCACATTTGAGTCAGTAGGGGGCACTCTCCTCTCCAGGAGAGTGCAGACCCCACTATGCCTCCTCACCAAGTTCACTACAACCCCCCTCAGAAGCAGCCAGTTACTCCCCCAGACAGAGGGAAAGACAGATCCATGTTCTCCCCTGTCTGTCCTGCAGCACTCAGCCCCAGAAAGGCCACATTCAAGGACCACCGATTCAAAGAGACCTTCTCACACAGCCCAGGCCGAGGTCACCTGACACAGCCCAGGCCTTCCCCACAGCCGCTGGGACGTAATCCAGATGAAACCAGCCATTGATCTTGTTCCCCCAGGCGAGGTGTGCAACTGCCTCCCATTGCTAACACCAGCAGCTGCTCACTCGCCAGTACCTTCCCCTTCCGCACCTGGAAGTGCCCAGCCCAGGGCGGAGATGTGCGTGGGATAAAGGGACGATTCTCTGCTCAGGCTCCCCCCACAATCCCAGCACCACTGGATTTCTCTACTACAATGATCAGCAATGAAACAGTTAACAACATTAACACTTGATGTGTCATTAGGCTCCAGAGATAACAATCCTGGACATGAGAGGAGGCAGGTCAGGGGTCTCAGAGCTTTCCTTCCTAACTGCCAGCAGGCTCAGGTAGAGAGGCTATGCCAGTACCAGGTTCTCAAGGCTACTTCCCAGGAAGATAGGTCTAACTTCACGTGGCTGAGCTCACTGGGGCTGGGGCCTCTAGGCACTACCTCAGTGTAGAGGGGTCACAACCGCAACCGGCTCCATCCCAGCCCTGTCACTCGGCATCAGGTGCAGGATCACACCGGCTCGCATGTCACCACTGTCCTCTTCTGGCCGCACTGCGTCTGCCCCAACTACACCAGTCCAGCTCCTCAGCCAGGGGGCCCCGGGACAGGCCAGAGCCCAGCATGGTTAAAACATGCTTCAGTCTCATGGCACAGGCATGTCCGAGCCATGTGTTATCCACATCTCCAAGTCACTGGGCCCTGCACAGTCCAAGGGGTGCAGCACTATCCAGGGACATGGCTCAGTCCCATCCGCCTTACGGAGCTAGTCCCAGGTCCCCCACTGAGGGAGCGTCTCCTAGGGCAGACCAGTCCCCCCAGGCTCCCGGGAGGCTGCAGCTCTCTCAGGGCGCAAGCCCTGAAGTTACCGCAACTCCGGGGGGGCACCCTTCGCAGAGAAGAAAGGCACCATCAGTGTTTTGTTTATGGAGGACCTACAATAAACCGGGCAGTGGAAATACGTGTCATCCCGCGCGGGGACCCCCAACACAAACCCACCCCCAAGATCCAGCCCCGCAGAGGAAAACGGGGACAGAGGCCGGGGTGCCCCTAACCCAGCCCCAGGCGCCGGTCCGCGGGAGGGAGGTGTAAGCCCCGATGAGGCTGAGGGGTAGCCCCGGGGGGGTTTCACTCACCCAGCACCAGGATCCGGTCCCCCGGGCGCAGCTCCGCCTCCAGCTGCTGGCGGAAGCAGGATAAGCCCCCAAACCACTCAGCCGCAGTAGCCCCCGCCTGGCGGTACCGCGAATCCCAGAAGCGCCGGTCCCGGTACCGGAGGTTAGAGTCCGGCAGCCAGGGAAGATCCAGGCTCCCGGAGCCAGGGGCGCGGCGGCGGCGGCGGCTATCTGAGGGCGGGGCCATCGATCAGGGGGCGTGGCCGATCTGCAGCTGGTCGCTGAAACCGAACCTGCCGCCTCCCACGTGTATCCCCACAAAAAACGTGGCACTTCCGGGCCGGGTTTGGTGCAACGCTGAAAACACTCCGTCCGGAAACCAACCCTCCCATCCGTCCCCGCCGGCAGGCCGAGCCCGTGGGAGGGGACCCTGTGGCCAGCTCCCAGGGGACGGAAAGAGGAGGGGATGTTGCCTCCTGGGGACCCCCTTCCTCCTGGGGACCCCCACCACTCCGTGCTGCCCCCACCACGCCCTGCGTCCTCACCCCTGTGTTACCATCCCCCGGCCCTTCTGTCACCCCCATGCACGACATAGCCCACCCCCTGGACGCCGGGGTCAGGGGCACCGCTTAATCATGGTACGTTTAGGCCCACAGGTACCAGGACTGTAGCCCAGAATGCAGCCCCTCGGGGGCAGGGGTGGGGCAGGACACTTGTTGATCCAGCGACCCCCCCCCCCCCCCACACACACACACACACACACAGCAGTGAAATGCAGCCGCCTCTGGGCGGAGGTGCGTCAGCTGCTTCCCCACACCCTGCCAACCAGGGCTGTAAGGGAAGATGATTCCTGTGTTCCCAACACCAGCCACTGGGGACTTAGGAAGCCTTGCTTGGTCGGGACATTTAAAGACGTGGCAAACAGCTGAGCCAGCCCCAGCGCTCTCACCAGCAGGCCACGCTGCCCTCCCACAGCCCGGAGTCCCCCGATCTCTGTGTCCCCCGCCCCGCCAGCTTTGCCTCTCTCCGGCCAGCCCCAGGCAACACGTGGCTGGGTCCAGGGCAAGCTCCTGACATGGCCCCATCGCAGCCCGGCAGGCAGATCCCGTCCCCCGTTTTCCTCGGGCCTGGGGGACCGGCCGCCCTGGGAGGGCTGCGTGTTTCCTCCCGAAGTGGGGGAGCCCTTAGCCGGTGACACCGGGGCCAGGAGTCGGCCGCCTGGCCCGCGCAGTGCGGGCGATGGCTCCCGCTCCCGGCTCGGGGCTGCGGCGGAAAGGGGCGGCGGGGCCGGGCTCGCTGCGCCAGAGCCTGCGGCGAGCCTGGCAGGAGAAGCACCGGGTGCTCCTGGCGCCCCAGTACACGGGGCTGGTGGCCGCCTGGCTCTGCCTGGCGGAGGTGGGGGTTACGCACTGGGTCATTCGCAGGGTGGCATGTGAGTGGCCTGGCGCATTTCCTACGGGGCGGCGAGGCGGGCTGGGCCGGCCCGGGACAGGCCCCGAACCTGGGACCCAGGACCAGGGCTGGGCTAACAGGGGGTTGCGGGTTGGGAGTGAGGGGCGTTGGCAGAGCTGGGTGTGGGGAGTCCAGGGCTGGGATAGCAGGGCGCTGCGGGTTGGGAGTGGGGCTCGGCAGAACTGGGTGTGGGGAGCCCAGGGCTGGGCTAGCAGGGGGCTGCGGGTTGGGAGTGAGGGGCATTGGCAGAGCTGGGTGTGGGGAGTCCAGGGCTGGGATAGCAGGGGGCTGCGGGTTGGGAGTGAGGGGCATTGGCAGAGCTGGGTGTGGGGAGCCCAGGGCTGGGCTAGCAGGGGGCTGCGGGTTGGGAGTGAGGGGCTCCGGCAGAGCTGGGTGTGGGGAGTCCAGGGCTGGGCTAGCAGGGCGCTGCGGGTTGGGAGTGAGGGGCTCCGGCAGATTTTGGTGTGGGGAGGCCAGGGCTGGGCTAGCAGGGGGCTGTGGGTTGGGAGTGAGGGGCTCCGGCAGAGCTGGGTTTGGGGAGCCCAGGGCTGGGCTAGCAGGGGGCTGCGGGTTGGGAGTGAGGGGCTTTGGCAGAGCTGGGTGTGGGGAGTCCAGGGCTGGGATAGCAGGGCGCTGCGGGTTGGGAGTGAGGGGCTCCGGCAGATTTTGGTGTGGGGAGGCCAGGGCTGGGCTAGCAGGGCGCTGCGGGTTGGGAGTGAGGGGCTCCGGCAGATTTTGGTGTGGGGAGGCCAGGGCTGGGCTAGCAGGGGGCTGTGGGTTGGGAGTGAGGGGCTCCGGCAGAGCTGGGTTTGGGGAGCCCAGGGCTGGGCTAGCAGGGGGCTGCGGGTCGGGAGTAAGGGGCATTGGCAGAGCTGGGTGTGGGGAGTCCAAGGCTGGGATAGCAGGGGGCTGTGGGTTGGGAGTGAGGGGCATTGGCAGAGCTGGGTGTGGGGAGCCCAGGGCTGGGATAACAGGGACTGCGGGTCAGGACTGAGGGGCATTGGCAGAGCTGGGGTGGGGGAACCGCGAGGCTGCTGTGGGCTAGTTTTTCACTGTTACTTCAAATTCAAGCTTCTGACCCTCCGTGTCCCGCCCCGCCCCCCAGCTCCTCTCACTCGCTCCCCCCCTTCTTTCTCAGCTTTGTCTCCTCCCATTTGCCCCTTCACAGTTAATTCACTGGAACAGCCCCCTGCCCAGCTCCCCGCCTGGCCCTCCCTGTGTGATCTCTCCTTACTTTACCCCATAGTGCCGGTCTCCAGCTCTGTGCCTGGCTGCTCCTCTGGTGTTACCGAGTTGGGAAGTCCCATGGGGCAAGGACCTGGCTTGGTGCCCATCTCCCACCTGTAGGGTTGGGGAATGACCATGTTTTCTTAGCCCCCTCCTAGCAGCTGTCTGTGTGGAGACGCTGCTGAGTGTGAGCTGCGTGCTCTCCCCACAGACACAGAGATCGACTGGAAAGCCTACATGGATGAGGTGGAGGGAGTCGTTAACGGGACCTTCGATTACACCCAGCTGAAGGGAGATACCGGGCCCCTGGTGTGAGTACAGGAAGGGCTGGGAGGGAGCTGGGGATTTGGGAGACGAATCCTGGGGGCCGGGGCTTCCTGCTGGCTAAGGAAGGGAAGTGTGTGTCTAAGAGGTGGATAGGGCCTGTCTCTTTTGGGAGGGGGCTGTCCATTGGCCAGGTCCCCTTCCCTCCTGCAGTGGCCCAGACTGCCCCGGCCCCTCACTCCCATCTCTCTCTGTAGTTACCCCGCCGGGTTTGTTTACATCTTCCTGGGTCTCTACTACATCACCAGCCGCGGCACCAACATCCGTCTGGCGCAGTATCTCTTCGCCGCGCTCTATCTCGTGACGCTGCTGCTTGTCTTCCGCATCTACAGCCGGACCAGAAAGGTGAGAAGCTACTTGTAGCCACCCGGCCAGGGCCAAAGCCCCCTGGGGCTCACGGGAGTAATCACAACTCCAGCTTCCGAGCACATCCGCCCTGTGCGGGGCTGCGGGTCGGGAGTGAGGGGCATTGGCAGAGCTGTGGGTGGGGAGCCCAGGGCTGGAATAGCAGGGGGCTGTGTGTCGGGGCTGTGTGTCGGGCCTGAGGGGCATTGGCAGAGATGGGGGAGCCCAGGGCTGGGATAACAGGGGTTGCAGGCTGGGACTGAGGGGCACTGGCAGAGATGTGGGGGATCCTAGGACTGGAATAGCAGGGGGCTGTGGGTTGGGACTGAGGGGCATTGGCAGTGCTGGGATACCAGGGGGTGGTGGCTCAGGACTGACGAGTATCGGGGGCCTGGGACTGCAGTGATGGCAGCCCCTGTCTCTGCTCGTAGGTCCCCCCCTATGTTTTCTTCTTCATGTGCTGCGCCTCCTACCGCATCCACTCCATCTACATCCTGCGACTCTTTAACGACCCCGTCGCCATGGCCATCCTCTTCCTCGCAGTCAACCTCTTCCTGGAAGAGCGCTGGTCCTGGGGCTGCTGCTTCTTCAGGTGCGTCCCCCCTAAACCACAAGGCCTGAGCCTCTGGACCCCTTCCTTTGGCTGGGGAGTGTCGGATTCTCTTGGGTTGTTCTGGGTCAGGACTGACCCCTCCCTGCTCCAGGACACAAGGCCTCTGGGGCTGAGGAGCGCAGCGAGTCCACGCTAGGGGTGGTCGCTGCTCCCAGGAGCTCTCGGTCACGGATAGAGCTCTGGGAAGGGGAACGAGCCCAGGTGACTTCTGCTCAGATCAGCAGGATTGACTCCAGCAGCATGACAGAGGTTGGGCTCTAAGCGTCCATCTACCCTGCAGCTCGATACCCATGTCTGGCCCAAGTCAGGTGGCAGCGTGGATGTGCCCTCAGGGGGACTGAGACACGGGTAGGGCAGGGTCCCTCAAGTCGCTGTGCACAGGAATTAGCATTGGGAGCCTTAGCAGAGCAGAGGGGATGGGGAGGGGCAACGCCAAGCAGATGAGGGAGGAGCAGGAGCAGAGCTTGGGTGGCTTGATGTTGGAGGAGGAGCCAGTGGAGGGATCCCCTACTGGGAGTGACCTGATCAAACCCCTGGGCCAGGACAAGGCCTCTCGGGGCAGGACTTTGTGCAGGCTGGAGGGAGGGTGGGGGGGGGCATTTGGGAGGCCAGAGAGGAGGAGGCAGCAATGGCCCATTCAGGACATTTGGCTGTGGGGATGGAGAGGAAAGAACGGATTTTGGAGATGCTGAGCATGGAGAAGCAGCAGGATTTGGAAACAGCCCAGATGCATAAGCCATGGGCGAGGGCGGAATCGGACACAACCCCACATGCCCCCGACAGCACCTGTCTGAGCCAGTCGAGCTGCGGTTGGCCGGATCCCCATGCCCCTGACAGCACCCAACTGAGCCGCTCGGCCTGCGTTTCCGGGGACGCCGCATCTAACCCCTCAGCCCGCATCCTCTGACAGGGACAGTTCGTTCCCCTGGCTCCACTTCCCTCAGGATGGGCAGCTGCCGGTCTCCTCTCACCGACTGTCTTGTCATTTCATCCAGGGCCCTCCCCCACCAGCCTCAGCACCATTACAGCGCTGGAACAGGGTCCGCTAGGGCTGTGGAACCTGCGTGGGGAGGGGCCTGCAGTCAGGATCGGGGCCGTTCTGCGCAGGGTCAGGGCCAGGGAGGGGTGGCACCCCGCAGGCAGGGCCCTGGTGAGCCACAGTGACTCTCTCTCTCCCCTCAGCCTGGCCGTGTCGGTGAAGATGAACGTCCTGCTCTTCGCTCCAGGGCTCCTCTTCCTGCTTCTCTGGCGCTTCGGCCCCCTGGGCACCATCCCCAAGCTCTCCATCTGCGCGCTGCTGCAGGTAACCCACCCCGTGGGCCTGGCCCAGCCCAGGCGAACGCTGGGGCCCTGCATAGCTGGGGCGAGCTGCGTGGCCAGCCCGGTCTGTGGGTCTCTGATGCCTCCTGCATGGATGCACCTGACTCTGCCAGGCTGATCCCAAGAGGCCCAGCACCCAGAGACGCATGGGGCACGGGGCAAATCAGGACAGTGGATGGGTGGGTAGAGAGGGAGTCTGGGGCAAAGACCATCCCCACCCAGAGCCCCCTCACAAACTCACACTTAGTATCCCCAGCTGTTCAGTATTCCCCCAGGCAAGAGGGAAGGAGCCTGGGGGCCCAAATTCACACAGGACATGACCGGAGCAGCAAGCAGGAGAACACAGTGTGTGCTTCTTCCTGCAGCTCTGCCAATGTCCCTGCTCCCCCCACACCTCTGCCAATGCCCCTCAACCCCGACCCACAGACCCTTGCTATCCCAGCCCTGGGCTTTCCCCATTCAGCTCTGCTGATGCCCATCAGTCCCGACCCCCAGCACTTAGGGGTGTCTGGCGAGGTACCTGGGACAGTCCTGGCTGGGGAGCTGCTCTCATGGTTCGGGGATCTCACTTGCAGGTGGTCCTGGGGCTGCCCTTCCTGCTGGAGAACCCTGTTGGGTACGTGACCCGCTCTTTCGACCTGGGCCGCCAGTTCCTTTTCAAGTGGACGGTGAACTGGCGGTTCCTGCCAGAGGAGGTTTTCCAGCATCGGGCCTTCCACCTGGCACTTCTCGCAGCCCACCTGGGTGCCCTGGGACTCTTTGCACTGCATCGGTGGCACAGGTGAGACCCCAGCATGGAACGGGGCGCTGGGTACAGAGCAGATGATCCCTGAGGTTTCCCTGCAGCCCCTACACTGCCAGGTGGTTTGGAGAGGAGGCTGAGGCAGCCCACCCCCACAGATCCCTGCCTGGCCGGGCTACCGGGAGCATAGCGTTAAATAGCTTCCATTGCACTGGGGCTATGGAGTTTGGGGGGAAGCGGGGGAAGGGAGAACTTTAGTCCATTTTTGGGGCCTCCCCTATTCAGACCTGGGCCCCCGGCTCTATGAAGCCATTGCTGGCTGTATAGTCTCGGAGGGGCCAGTTCATGGCCCGGGGGGTCTGCAGCCTCTCTGCCGGGATTGGGCTTGAAGGGTCCTGTGCTCGTCCTTCTCCCCTGCAGGTCTGAGGGGAGTCTCTTGTCACTGCTGAAGGATCCAGCAGAGAGGAAGAGTCCGCCCCAGCCCCTGACAGCCAACCATATCCTTACACTGGAGCTGCGATGGAGGCTAGGGCAGGGCAGCCCTGGCTGGCCAGGGAGTGCTTGAAGGCCATGGGCTTGAGGAGGCCTCAGTGCAAGCATCTCCAGGCTCCCAGCCATGCGGCGCTGGGGAGACCCAGGCGTCCTGGGGCCTCCCAGTCCCACAGCCCGGAGCGGCGTGGCTGTTTGGGAGCTTCCCCCACACTGGGTTAGGAGGGGGGAAGCAGCCACTCCCTGTGCAGCCTTGTGGCTCTGGGATTCTGTCACATGCTGGGAGCCCCACCCTGGGCTGGGAGGTTGGGATGGGAAGACAGTAGCCCTGGAGCCAGCAGCTCCGTTCCTCCTTAACGGCAGCGCACAGGTCGTCTTCGTTCTCTTCACCTCCAACTTCATCGGCATTTGCTGCAGCCGGTCCCTGCACTATCAGTTCTACGTGTGGTATTTCCACACCCTGCCCTACCTGCTGTGGTGCACCCCTGCCGGGAAGCTCAGCCACCTGCTGAGGTACGTGCCTGGGAGGGGAGGGGACCTACCTTTGTGCCTCAGTGTGCTGTCCCCAGCTCCTGGGAATCCCTCCCGCTGCTGGTACTGCACAGGGCAGGCCCTGGCCTTCAGTGGTGCCATAAACTTGAGCAAATGAGGGGCTGTGTGGGTTCCTCCCAGGTAATTATCCACATCGCAACTCTGCTTGATTCGTCATCTCTGCTGAGGAAAGGGCCAGGGCCAGGATCGCAGGGGCTGTGGGTCAGGAGTGAGGAGTATCGGCAGATCTGTGTGATGGGGAGCCCAGGGCTGGGATAGCAGGGGGCTGTGGGTCAGGAGTGAGGGGTAGCGGCAGATCCGTATGACAGGGGGAGCCCAGGGCTGGGATAGTGGGGGCTGTGGGTCGGGAGTGAGGGGTATTGGCCGATCTGTGTGATGGGGAGCCCAGGGCTGGGATAGTGGGGGCTGCGGGTTGGGAGTGAGGGGTATTGGCCAATCTTTGTGACAGGGGGAGCCCAGAGCTGGGGTTGCGGGGGGCTGTGGGTTGGGAGTGAGGGATATCAGCAGATCTGTGTGACGGGGAGCCCAGGGCTGGGATAGTGAGGGGTAGCAGCAGATCTGTATGACAGGGGGAGCCCAGGGCTGGGATAACTGGGCGCTGTGGGTCAGGAGTGAGGGGTATTGGCCGATCTGTGTGACGGGGAGCCCAGGGCTGGGATAGCGGGGGGCTGTGGGTTGGGAGTGAGGGGTATTGGCCGATCTGCGTGACGGGGAGCCCCCCAGGGCTGGGATAGCAGGGTGAGGAGCTGAAGGCTGTTCTCCCTCCTGTGGGGGAGGGACCTGACTCCCCAGCGCTGACCCAGTTCTCTCCCATTGCAGGGTGCTAATCCTGGGCCTCATCGAGCTCTCCTGGAACACGTACCCCTCCACACTTTGCAGCTCAGCTTTCCTGCACGTGTGTCACGGGATGATCCTGCTGCAGCTCTGGTACGGCACCACTGCCCCCCTGGAGCCACAGAAAACGACCCCCTCCCTGAAAAAGACACAGTGAGACCCTGGGCAGCTGGATGATGGGACCTGCAGCCCCTCCCCCTGGGAGCTGGAACTGGATATTCTGCCTGGGCGGGACGATGCCCTGGGCTGGTAGCCCTGGCTGCTGAATTTCCAGGCTGTTCTGCAGGTGCCGCTCAGCTGGTGGCACTGCCTGTCCTACCCGGTGGCTGAGTGGAGCAGGCCCCCCCCGGGGACACCTCTTACATGGGATTTCCTCAATAAACGTGGCAATGTCCCGTGGGCTCTCCTGACCCCGGCCTGCAGTCTGGCCCTGGCCTGCAGTGATCAGTCTGGCCCCTGCTGCTGTTGGGGCAGAGGCACCATTTCACAGGACGGAGCAGCTGCCCTGCTGTTTGGGGGGAGTGGGGTATAATGGCTAGAGCAGTGGCTTGGGATCCAGGACTCCTGGGTTCCATTCTCAGCCCTGGGTGGGAGTATGGGTAAAGCAGGGGGCTGGGTGGCAGAGGGCAGCTCTGGGAGGTAGGACTCTTGGCTTCTATGTGCTCCCAGGGGCAAGTCCCTGAGGGGTACCTGCAAAGACACCCGTTTCAGGGAACAATGTGGCTGGCCTTCGAGGTGCTTAAAACTCGGTCAGTCTTAGAGGAGATGGGACCACACGTGGGGATAAGCATCACTCCCCACCCGGTGCTCCAGCCCTGCTCAGGCCATGGTTCAAACAGGGCTCAGTCCCACTGACCCTACACCACGGAATCATTCTGGAACCTGGTCCCCTAGCACCCTTGAGTTGCTTTTACAGAGCAAAAGAGCCTTTCACCTCCTCTGTTTGTTTCCTCACCTTCAGAATGGGGGTAATGGGACTGCCCCACCCACTGGGGGTGCAGTGAGGCTCAGTGCAGCGTACGAGAGCCCTGGGCCTATGTGAGCAGAGCGAGGGGGGGTTTCATATGCCTCCTCTTCACCCAACACTGCCTGCCCCTAACTTGCTTCCAACCCCTTCTGCTGCTTGTTGGGCTACCCCAGGCCCCCAGCCGGAGGCCGAGTGACGGGCGCCTGGGCTCAGGAGCGGGACTGATGGTGGGAAGGAGCTGGCTGCCGGAGCGGGTGAGGCCCGCCCATCTCAGAGGGAAGCGCCCCCCGGTGGCAGTGCAGGAGGGGAAGGAGCTGTGGACACAGCAGGTCTGAACCAAACCTCTTTATTGGTGCCACGGCCCGGCCCCTCACACGTTGCTGGGGTTGTAACATAGCATGTTCAGCCTGATGTTCTCGTCCCAGTGGCGCAGCAGCAGGAAGAGGTGGTGCGCCGCCCCTTTCAGAGAGCCCACATCCACTCCCTCCGGCAGCTGCTGCGCCCGGAGCCAGGCGTCTGCCTTGGCGGCCAGCAGCTCCCATTCCACAAATAAGCCGGCACAGCGGTGCTCGAGCCAGGCCAGTGCCACAGCCGTGGCCCAGCTGGCACTCTCCAGGTCCCCCTCCTCGGCCTCGAGCCCCACCTCCTGCAGGCTGACGGCTTCGGAGGTGGCGGGCGAGTGGTCGCAGGCGTCGGTCTCGGAGCCGCGCCCACTGTCTGCCTGCGGCCAGATGGCAGTGCTTAGGACCTCAGAGCAGGTGCTGTGTGAATGGGGCAAGCCTGGTTCTGGTGCCCCCTCCTGGCTGCCTCTGGCAGGCTCCACGCCCTCTGGAGAGGGCTGGCTTGCCACTTGCTTTGGGCCGCCATCAGGGCTGCCCTTGGCAATGAGTGCCCAGGGGGCGGTGCAGGAGCCAGGGCTGAGGCTGGCATGGTGCGAGGCATAGGGCGAGGCACGGCGCAGACGGTCCAGTGGGATCTGCACCACTTCGGAGAAGCTTTCTGTTAGCTGGAAGGTGCCCAGGGCCTGCTGCAGCCGCACCTGGTGGGGAGGAGAGGGCGGGGGGGGAGCATCTCACATTCACTGCACAGGGCCAGCGTCTGTCACTCCCACTGCGTAGAGCCTAGGGTGTGGAGGAGGGGTCCTGCACTCACTCCAGAGGCCATGGGGGGACTCCTGGCCAGGTGAGGCCCTGGCTGCAGCAGGGCTGTCTCTGAGAGGCAGAGCTTGTGCACCAGGCAGCCCTTTTGCTGATGCTGGCACTGCACAGTAGGGGTGGGGAAGCCCAGCGCTGGGGCCTGGGCTCGTTATGTACAAACATAAGAAGGGCCAGGCTGGGTCAGGCCAACAGTCCATCTAGCCCAGAGTCCTGTGACAGGTGCTTCAGAGGGAATGAACAGAACAGGCCATCATTGAGTTGTTCACTCCCAGCTTCAGGCAAACAGAGGCTAGGGACACCGAGAGCAGGGGGTTGCATCCCTGCCAATCCTGGCTAATGGCCATTGATGGACCCATCCTCAGTGAACTTATCCAATTCCTTTTTGAACCCCATTATTTCATAGAATACCAGGATTGGAAGGGACCTCAGGAGGTCATCTGGTCCAACCCCCTGCTCAAAGCAGGACCAATCCCCAATTTTTGCCCCAGATCCCTAAATGGCCCCCTCAAGGATTGAACTCAACCCTGGGTTTAGCAGGCATTATAGTTTTGGCCTTCACAACATCCCCTGGCAACAAGTTCCACAGGCTGACCTGACTGTGTTGTGGGAAGAAATACTTCCTTTTCGTCGTTTTAAACCTGCTGCCTGTTAATTTCATTGGGTGTCCCTGGGTTCTTGTGTTATGTGAAGAAGTAAATAACACTTCATTATTCACTGTCTCCACACTAGACATGATTTTATAGACCTCAATCATGTCCCCTTTTAGGCCTCTCTTTTCCAAGCTGAGAAGTCCCACTCTTTTTAATCTCTCCTCATATGGAAGCTGTTCCAAACCCTTAGTAATTTTTGTTGCCCTTCTCTGTACCTTTTCCAATGCTAATATCACTTTGCTGAGATGGGGCGCCCAGAGCTGCAGGCAGGATTTGAGGTATGGGCGTACCATGGATTTATATAGTGGCATTGTAATATTTTCAGTTTTATTATCTATCCTTTGCCTAATGGTTCCTACCATTGTTCGCTTTTTGGACTGCCGCTGCACACTGAGCAGATGTTTTCAGAGAACTGACAATGCTCTGAGTTCTCGTTTGCGAGTGGTAATGGCTAACATAGATCTGTCCCCATCACACGGGGTCTGAGCTGGGGTGGAGCAGGTAGGGAAGGCTGGGGCAGCAGTAGTTTCCCCTGTACAGTGCTGAGGCCTGTCGTGGGGCGCACACACAGTATTGACTCTGCGCTTTGGAGCCTAACCTCTGGCAATACCATGCAGTGGTGGGGGCAGCTCTACAGGAGCCCTGGTTCCCGTGAGGTTGGGGCGGATCCTGGCCTTGTCATTACAAGTCTGCTCCATCATGTAGGAGACCCAGGTTTGATTGCAGGTCCTGGGGTGGGATCCATCCCTGGCACTGCTGGGCTGGGAGTGGAGTACCCCAGGAGAGTAGCTGGGCTCAGCAGGGTGGGATGACAGTGCAGGGTCCTTACCAGTGGGAGGTAGTCATGGATGGCACTGTCCTTGGAGAGCTCACTTTCTGGGGTCAGGCACTGTGGCCGCAGTACTAGGCCGTGCCCCCTGATCCTGCTGAGACTGAACCTGCCAGGAGAAGAGACCAGTGAGCAGCATGGCCTGGATCCTGCCAGCGTTGGGAGAGTGGTGGTCATCGCAGGAGAGAGGCGGTCCATTGGGAGGGCTGTGGGCCTCCAGCACTGAATGAACACACCCCAACTCCCCTCCGTGACACAGCAGCCGTGGCCAAGAGAGATTCCTCTCCAGCTCCTTCCTGCCGAAGAAGGTGACCAAGCTGCAGGGGGACGCTGGCCACTCTCCAGGAGGCTGCTGGGCCCCAGGCCAATGCACGCTGCAGTGCAGGGTGGGCTGGCAGCAGCATGGGGAGAGATTAACCCCAGCTGTGCTGCAGGGTCAGGGCTCAAGCACTGGAGGTTTTGCGGGAGGTCCCCTCAGTGAAGAAGCGGTGGGGTGTCCCCCTGACAGGCTAGGGCCTTTCCTGTTGAATGCAAAGTCCCCTCTGCATGGAAGGTGCCCCCAGCCAGGCCCCCCCAACCCCAGAGAGTCAGTCTAGAAGGCCTACCTGGAGCCAGCAAAGTTCTCCATGGATTTCTGGGATCCCACAGAGGTGGCAGAGGGACTGGCCACAGGACCTGGCATGGGGAGGGAAGGTCACTCCATAGGGCTGGGCTCCCCTGCTTTCTCTATCCCCACCACAATTGCCTGCTGCCACAGCACAGCTCCACAGAGGCCCCCAAAGCACCCCTACCTGTGGGGGAAGGGCTCAGCCACGCTAGGAGGTAACAGGGCAGGTGGAGGGTCCCCATCCACGAGGCCTCAGCAGGTCCTCTCCCCAGACTGTGCCCCACCTGAACATTACTCCAGCCTCTGCCAAGTGCAATATGGTACAGGATGGGAAGTTTACGACCCCAGCAGGGGCTGCCTTCCCAAACCCAGCACTCCCGCAGGGTACTGCAGACAGGTCAGGAGCGTGGGGAGGTTACGGCTCCCACACAGGGTCTCCTACGTTCCTGGAAATGGGAGCCACCCTCTCATCAGACCCTTTATTTCCACAAGAGAGCCAGCATCTCTGCGGTGGCTGGAGCAGCGATGTTGGAGAGCAGCCCATTCTGGCCAGTCCCAGGAGCACAGACGTGGGCAGCAGGCTGTCCGATAATGTAACCACACAGGTTAGGGGAGGGGGCTCAGCCCCCTCATGAGACATCGCACCCCAACATGGGATTGAGAGGTGGACAGTAAAGCTGACGGGTACCTGAGCCCGCCGTGCATTACACATCCAAATGGGCTGTGAGATGATTCACGCTAAAGCTCCAGGCTTCCTGCCACTTCCCGGGGGCTTGGCAGCAGCCACAGGCAGCCATCTGTCCAGGAGCTGCGTTGGGAGGACAGTTGGCCCCATCTCTCTCTCAGGGTTTCCTATAGGGCTGAGCTGCGCAATGTCTAATCCTCAAAGAGCCTACTTTCTCCGATTCCCCGCCTCCAGCTCTGGGCTGTGTGTGGGACTTACCATCGGGGCAGCTTTGCTTTTCCCAGGCACCGGCAGCAGAGGAGATGCTGACAGGAGATGCGGGTGTCTCGTCTTGCTCTGGAACGGAATCAAGAATTCAGAGCCTACGCTGGGTGCTGGGACCCTCCAACTCCCAGCTGCAGCCGGCTGAGGACATGGAGCCACAACTTCCATGGGCTCTAGGGCTCCAGTTTGGTCCCCATTGCAAGAGCAGTGGCCTGTGGTGCTGTCCTCTGTCGCCATCTCCATTTGATGCAGAGGCTGCACCC